GTCCATGATCACTAGAATATTAGCTTTGTCCGCACGTCGCACAATGATGTCGTCATGGTTTCTGAGATCCTTAGCAGCAGTACGGAGTTTTGGTGTTAGCAGGGGGGGTGTTGTCACGGTCACGTCATTTCGTGCTTTCCGTGCGTAGGTGGTCCCGCAAGGCTGGATTTATGTCGATAAGGTCCTGTTGTTGTAGTTGTATAAGAGAGCAGTAGAGTTTTTCGAGCTCAGCGGCTTTGATGTCCTTGTCGAATTTAGGTTTAAAATGGCATTTTGGCCCCAGGTTGAGTAGTTGTTTCTGGTCTGTAGTCAGTTTATTTTAAACTTTTAGTTATCTTTCAAATTTCCAGTCTTTCTTCCCTTTATTTTCTTGATTTTATGAAAGAAAGTTACAGAATTTTCTACATCTTAGTTAGATTTCTGATTCATATTATTATCTTTTCCTCCATTACTTTGATTTCTAATCTTTATCATATTATTAGATATGGTATATGTATTCCAGAGTTTGTGGTATGGTTTCTTTGATAGGAATTTTACCATCATTATTCATCCAGTGTTTGGATTTCAATATTTAATCAAAGATTTGATCATTATATCAACGACAAAGTCTGTGTATCACAGACATAATAGAGCTACTTAAAAAACATACAAAAAAAAGGTAAATGTTTTCATGGATGAGCTTGGCTACAAATTTGAGTTTCCACATTTTTTACTCCTTCCATCGTCTTGACACTCTACAACTAGAGACTTCTACTGTTTCAATGGAAACTGGAGGTATTCTATCAGTGATGTTAATGTCACTGTGCTCCAGGTGGTTGGTTCTTTCTAATCTCAGGTCCAGGATTCCTCACCTCTTGCCATTGTTGTTTCAGCTAAGCCTGCCTACTCTTCCAACACTTTTTTGTCCAGATATTCATACCACCAATTTTATTTCTACTTCTATCCTTCCTGATGAGGAACAGGTCATCCTGCTTTCTTCCTCTAGAGCTTTAACGATATTCCTTCTCTTTCTTCAGTGGTTTTTGTCGATTTTCAGATAATCTTGCTGACTGTCTTCTCTTTCTTCCTTTCTCCCCTGATATTCATGTTCATGCTGATGCTATTTTGTCTCCACTTCATACTAAATCCCAGCTACCTTTTCCTCACAGTCCTCAAGAATACTATTCGGTAGTGTATGATTATGATTCTTCTTTTCTTGACATTTAATCCTTTGATTCTCTTCTTCCAGAACCTCTTTTTTCTCCTTATTTATCTCTGTTTCACCGTTTATCTGGTCATTGTTGTCTTACTCACATATTTTGTTATTTTTCCCATGTTTCACCTTCTTAGAGATTCTTTACATTGTAACCCTGACTATTTCATTGGGGACAATTGCACCTGCATATTCTCTTCCTTGGCCTCAATTTCTTCTTTCATAGTGTCCCAAGTAACTAGGTTTCTTTGTTTCTAGGACTTACTTGGTTGGGATGTCTTACTTTCTGGAGTTTGCTTCCTTCAGTCTTGTGTCATTCTTCCTTTGTGATGTGTTTTGAAGGTACTTACTTATTCATCTCTGTTCACTTTATTTGTCTTTTTTACTTATTCTAGGGGGGTCTCAACAGGTTTTTCATCATCAGGAACCCCAAAGGGTCCCCACCGCATCTTCTGCTCTTCATCCTTTTATTATTTTCCAATATTCCTTTTCTTAGAGATTTGGCTGTTATCTATCATGGTATTGATTTGTTTTTGGAGCCATGCCTTGGTTTCAGATTAGTTGGAGCCTAGCTCTCTCACTTTGTGCACCTGTATACTCCTGTTGTAGAAAACCGTTTAGTCACACGTGTTTGTCATAAGCTGTCTTTGTCCTTCTGTAATCAACCTCCCATTTCCATCTCATATATATTTGGTACCTGAAGGAAGCTGTATTTCTGACTCTTGACTTTCACATTCAGTTGACAGCCTGTCATACACCAAGAGCTTTGGCCTTGGTGGTTGGTTGGCTGCCTGTCTCACCTAGATGTGATCCATCTTGTAGAGTGATGTCTACATTCTTTGGTATATTGGTAGATTTTTTTCTATTTTGGGACTACTCCTATCAATGCCATTGTGACTTTCCTTACCACCAAGGTTTCACTTTCCTGGTCACCAGTCCATACCTGTGTAGCCATGGCTGTTGATGCTCAGAATGAGGATTGGTTCAATTCCTTTCTATATGTTTGTCAACTATCTTCTGTCTGTACCTCAACTATACTTCATTTCTTTCTCTGGTGTATATGGACCTCAGCAGAGCCTTTCTCATCATTCATCCTCCTCATTACATTCCGTTTACAGATTGGAACCTCTGTTTAGTTGTTGAGGCTGCTACTTGTTCCCGATTTGAACATTTGGTCACTTGTTCCCTATATCATTGTTCTCTTTTCCTTCTCTCATGCAGGAAACATTCTCTTTAACATTTTTGTCTTGGATGTCCCACACACTTTACCACAGGAACAGGTTAATTTTATTCCCAGAATACTTCTCCCTCCCCAGGACTTTGATCGTCTAGGATAGTGACGGAATGTTTTTTCCAATCACTCTCCTTTCCTTATTTTTGTGCATGATCATTCTGACCTCAATTACCTCCTTTGTCTTATCAGAACAGTTTATTTTCATCTTGCTTGTATTGCCCCCTTTAGAGACAACTTCTTTTCTTGTCATGGGATTCTTCTTCATCTCATAACTTAACTTCTTCTAATTTGAATGTTTTTGTGAAACAACTCATCTGGCTAGTGTTTTCTTTTATGAGTGATAACACTTTTCCTCATTTTCATGTCCCCTCCTACCAAGTTTACCATCTCATGGCTTTTTTTGTCTCTAACTGTCAACACCCTATAGATGAGATATAGGCAGTGATGTGAAGAAACTTTGAAACTTTTACGTCTTTTACTTACATTACATTGTGATTTCATGTGCCTCTGATTTTTGTCTTCCTCCAGTTGCCATTTTCCAGTCTTTATAGAGGTTCTATGGAGGTGAGTTGTACATTATTTCTTTTTCTTTGCAGCTCCCATAACCACCTTATTATTTATATCCATATTCTGAAGATGATGGAACCCATCATGTATCCAATGTCGCTTTGGGGGGAATACTTCTTGCTCCTAAAATCCACATGAAGTAGGGGATAAAAGAGTGTGTTAAGTCCCTCTGCCCCTGTTCAGTGCCCATTGTTGAGACAGGGTTATTTGCAGGACTGTTTATCAGTATATATAATATATATCTTTTATTTTCCAGGCTGTACTTTAGGAACAACAATAATGAAATAAGGCAGCACCAGCTGTGACCCTGCCCTCACACCTGGCTGCTGCCTGCTTTCCTTATTTGTTTTAACCCATTGCACAGTCTTTCAGTGTGGGACCCTATACTGATTCCTGTTTGGTCCAAGTACCTCTTCAGCATTTTCCTCTATGCGTATTCCTCCTCCTCATTTTTTTCTAGTGGAGTAAAGGAAAAACACTTGCTTCCCTAGTCTCTAGCAACTTGAAAGGTTGATAAGGAGAATTCTCTTTTGGGTCAGTGTAATGCTATTGGTACAAAAATGAGTAGATGTACTCCTTGATCAGAAGTAGGACTGGGGTGTGTAACTGGAAGTGCAGTAGATGTTGTCCCCTATACTAAGAGCTAGACTATTTCCAGTCTGGGATGATTACTTCAAGCATCTTCTTATTCTGGTAAGTCTTTCTCCAATACTGTGTGGCTTGACTTATTGCCCTAGCCACACTATACAGACATGCTCTGCCAACCACCTGAGATATACAAGTTAGTTGAGCATTCTGTTTACCATTATAACACTTTAGTATCACACAGTAGAAACCTTTGATTATATTATCAGAAAGGGGCTCATATTTTAATTTCTTTATCCATATTGGTCCCTCTACTAATTCAGAGTTACAATTTTACATAAATAAAACAACTATTACCTCAGAGATCAAATTTACATAAACTAAACAACTACTATCTCAGAAATACAACTATACATAAATTAAACAACTACTACTTCAGAGATACATAAATTAAACAACTACTACTTCTCAGTTACAACTTTACCTAAATGAAACAATGTGGGATTCTAGCTATCAGTTCTGTGGAGAGATAAGTAGTTAACAAAAGTTAATAATTTCCTTATCTAAAAATCTATTTCATATGGGTATGTCTCCACAGAACCTCCCCACTTGTAGTGTGTTTCTCTTGCCTAATTAAGAATTAGTCTTTGTTAATACATAAGGTGCTCATGGGGTCTAATGCATATGGAGGATGTTTTACTCTCCTTTTGGTGGAGGGCTATAGTCCAATGCTGATTGCATCATAGACCAGTGTAGTACACATTGATATGTGTATGGGTGAGAGTTTCTATCAAGGCTTAGCTAAATTACAAAAATCTGTCAGAGTTGAACTACCAAAGGTGTTAAGAGTGTGAGGGATAGAGCCCTTGCTTAAAATTATGGCTTAACTAGCCAACGGCTGTATCCTTTCACTAAGACAGTATGTCGTTCAGATTGATGCTGAAATAGAACTATGGCTGTAGCTACTCCAGCTAGTTTAAGCTGTTGGAGCCTGAGTTGGATCTTAGTGCCAGTTATGGTAGCTGTTATGGAGAACTACTGACTGTACATCATGTGGTATGTGCTGATAATGGTACATTGACACAAAATTAAGTATCTTTTGTATACTGAAGCTGCAAGAACATTACTTGACATTGTCACATGTCACAAACAAAGACACTGGTTTCCCCATTATTGTGGCAAATGGGACAAGCTAGTTTTGAGGGGAGAGGTGCATCTTTGACTTTTCTCATGGCACCATCACACACACTCTTGTTTGGTAGTTATCTACCACTGAAATTACCAACCAGTCTTTCTTGTGAAACAGATGAACTTCATTTCCCTTGCAAAGCCATCCAGTGTTGACCAGATTGAGCATGTTGAAAAGGAGGTAGTGCAGCCACTGAATATGTAAGTAGTACTCAACAATGTATTATGGATACAATCCTGTGCATTGTTACCATCTGCTTTGGTAATAAAATCAACACTGGAAACGTTTTTTGTCTGGATAGTTGGTTGTACCAAAGCTAGTCTAAAACTGTGGACACCAAGCTATTCAGCTTCCATTTAGAATGATTATCAGCATGGCTACAGAGGCAGAAGCACTGCAAACAAGCTGAGTATCTAACCATCGCAGCAACTGTGTCATGTCCAAGAACAAATATCTAATTTGCAGATCATCTGAAATCTTTAGTTAAAGATTTTGCTAACAATCTGAACTCAACAAATAGACATGGAACCCAGTGAATTGCTGAGGGGTTTTCTTTAGTGATTGTATCACTCTATCTTTCAACATCTGTTTAACTTCAGCACTGATAATATTCTTGGTGCTCCAAGGAAATCTATTCAATGGTTGTTTTATTCAGTGTTTATCATCTGTATCTTTGTGATTGTAATCCACCCCAATTGGCCATCTGGTCCCTCAACCATTAAAGGACGCTTGGTCACCTCCAGTGGTGATTGTCAGAATAAAGAAGGAATGCCAGGGATCTGTTTGGACTTGAAACATTTAAAAATGGTAAAATACATCATTTCCTATCTTTTAAAGCATGCAGATAAATATTTGAATGCTTTGGAAGGTGCTTGTTAGTTCAGTATGCTAGCTGTGGCTTCTGCATAGTGTGAAGTTGAACTGGACTGCTTTAAGCATATGAAAATAGCTGTATGAGTTCTGCATCATGCCATTTGGTCTGTGTAATGTACTTGCCATTTTTGAGAGGCTGATGGAACTTACTCTTAGAGAACTGCAATGTCTGATCTGCATCAATAACATTCAATTCTTTGGTTATGCATTTCAATCTGTTACTGAGAATGGCATTCTAGCAAATCAGAGATACAAGATTGAAACTAAAATCAGAAAAGTGTTCATTAATGCATACAGAAGTAGAGTTTTTCAGTCAGTTATAGGTAGGGATAGAAATCCTGTGAAGATTACAGTGATATACAAATGAGAAGTCTACAGCTTCCTTGGTTTCATGTTATATTACCATGGTTTATAGCCAGTTTCTCCAAAATATTTCCTGGACAGTGATGGCTTAAAATAATTCTTGATTGATTCTGTATTCAAGGTTATCTGTAAAAACAAAAGAGAACCCTGTGCTTTATGGTGTAAAGAGAATGCTGTTAAGTTTTACTCACTTCAGTTGCCTAAACAGAAGGTTCTACACCATCGTATATTGAGATAGATGGTTAAAGCTGTAAAGAATTGATATTGACAACAGGATTATCATATATTTTCTGAAAAAAATTATTGTAATTTTAAGATTATAGTGAACATAATCAGTTTAGAGCATGCAATGTTTTTCTATGAAGAGGGGAAAAATTCACCTTTGTAAACACCACAAGTTTAGTCTTCTGATTATGAATATTGAAGAAAATGTAGAATTGTTTATTGTTAGTTTCATCGTTATGAGTAAAATTTATTTTTCTTTAAACTTCCCTTCTAAGATAATGCTACTTTGGCAATATTTTTTCTTTATTCTTACATTATGCTTGTTCATTGTTATCATTTTTGGTAGGCTTTTGAACATCTTCAGACTTTGGAACTAGTGATACCCATGACAGGAAGTACTTTAACAACACCAAAGCCATTCAGGCTTGTTAGAGTATTAATGGATCCCATACAGGTAAAAGAAGCACTACAAAGATATCCCAACCTTCCAACTGAACTAGAACAGTGGGCTTCTTTTATGCTAAGTGATATTTCATAATTCCAATGGAAGTGCAGTTATGTGCTTTCATGACAGTACAGATATATTATTTTACTGTGGAATTTTGTAGTTCAGAAATTGTTTCATTTCTATAGTAAGGTTAGCTCTTTTAAATGTAATTGTACTTTTTTATGAAAAGTAGATTTATTGTTCATAAAATGAATAAAAGTTATTAAAGTCCTTTGTCAGTATTTTATCCTAATCTAATTCGAGAAGACCGATTGCAGGTTTCTCAAGTGGAGAGTTGTAAGGACCTAACAACTGTTGTAACACTGAACAGTATCTGTTATTGTATTTTAAAAACTAGTTGATGTTTCATGAAAGATTCAATAAAAATGTCTGTTGGTTGCAGAGTGATATTAATTGCAGTTGATTACTATGTTTTTCATAAGCAGTTTAGATATTTATAATATCATGTAACTCTAACTCTACATATTTATTATACATTGAAAGAGGTTATTTTTTATTACTATGTAAATTTAAATGTCTGGTATTACACAATTAAAACCACTAAAATTCTAATCTTGACAAAATGTTAAATGTTCTGTAACTACTTGATAATGAAAGCACAGTAAAATATCTGTTTTTTAATCTTTCAAGTTGATATTAACAATTCTTCAAATTAATGGAAAAAATGCCATTAGAAAAGATACCAGTACAAAATAATAACTTTGAAATAAAAATATATTTGCTACTGAAATGTAAAGTTATTGTAAAGCTCAAAAAAGTTTTAGGAAAACAGACTGATAAGCATACTCTGTATAAACATATAGGGGTAAAAAGTTTAAGAAATCCATCCTATTGAAAGTGCTGTGATAAGAAAAAAAAAGGTTTATGGATATGTACAGATGCTTATATGAAGGATTGGAAGGACATTGTAGTCTATTTGATTTGGGGTTTAATGTTGCAAGGTAACTAAGGCTTTGTAGTAAACAAGGTAGATGAAGAAGATTGAGTAAAATTGAAAATGGAAAAACATTAAAAAAATGATAAAAATTATATTAGCAATAAGTAATAGAATTTAAATATATTGTCAGCCAGATCATTCTTCTGAATCCTATTATGGTTAGGGATCCAACAGAACTGGAAAAACAAAGATAATGAGTATAAATGGGCAGTTTCTTGTGAAGATAAGAATAAGCAGGATGTGGATGCCCAGGAAGTGATTTTGTAGCTAGCATTGATGTAAGTGAGTCTCAGTATATGTAAATGGTACATTGATTGTATGTTTTAGCATCAGCATACTGACTACACTGTTTAGCCTCTGGATGATCCAAGGCAAGTAAAATTATAACTGCAGTGAACATGGATTCTGGAACACGACCTTGTGAACAACAAAAGTCAGCACAAACGATGACCAAAGTAGTCGAGTCATTTGATTTGAAGATGTATAAAAATATAAATAAAGGGGATATAGCTTAAATAAGATTAATAATAAGGAAGTTAGAATTGCCTGTCAGAAGGAACTGACTTCTTTCATTATCTGAGAGATTAAACACAAATGGAAATTGTAATAAGCTATGGTGAATAGGCTTACCATCTGACTCGGCAACTGTTCTAAGAAGGCAGGTCAAATGCAGTGCTTGGACATGAAGATCAAAGAAGAAAAGATAGATCATCTACATGTAAGAAGTATGTCCCTCTGAGGCATAAATGCAGTGCCAATTGGGATGCTGAGGCAGTTTTGAAGTATACTGCAAGGATTGTTGTGAACATCAAATATGGAATGGATTTGTGTACAAGCTCTATGCAAAATCTGTGGCCAAAGCTTGAAATGCAGTAGGGCATGATGAATATATAACAAGCAACATCTACCCATTCCCAAGTATTTCAAGAAAAGAGCATGCAGAGTATTTGCCCCTTGTTCGCTTAATGTAAAAAGTTTGAAAATGCTTTTGAGAACATTCTTCCTGCCACTAGAGCATCTCCCAGATGAACATAGATCAGTACAAAAACCCCTTTGGTGATAAAATTGTATGCATATGGTCTTTGATGTGGAAAACCAAAGCCTATTTACAGTAGTAGGCTTGCATATTGATTAAGAGCAGTTTGGAGCTGCCATTTCATAAACCTCATATTTGTGTACTGACAAGAAATCAACTTAGAGGCAGCATGCTACAGATAGAGAAACACGAAGGTCTCATGTGAACAATTATGAAGGAATTATCCTCAGATACCGTAGGTCTATGTGATATCATATACTTTTTTGATGTCAAAAGATGTATAGAATTAAGTTTAACAAAAACTTTCTTGATGTACAAGTCTTATTGTACATAGTAGTAGATTTATCCTGCAAAACAAAAATTTGAGTATTGGAAATAAAGCTATTTGATCTGAGAAATAAAACAAGAATTAACCATACTCTTTCCCACCTTACAAAGGCATTTAAAGGTGAAAGAACTTTAGGGATCACTCTCAAGTTTTGTAAAAAAGGATGATAAATAGCCCAATATCACAAGTCTGAAAATTTTCCTCCTATTTCCAGTTAAAAAGAAAAAAAACAGAAGAGAAAGGGAGGCAGGAGAGTAATAGTGCAGCATGTTCTGATGAATATCATCCAATCTGGCAAATGTATTGCCTGTTCAGTGTAGCACTGGATGGAGTTTCACCAGCATTAATATCTGTACTTCTGGCCATCAAAGCCAAAACCAATAATGATACTTTTATCCAGTATCTTTGTGGCCAGGAAATCAGGAAAGAAACTGGTTTTACAAGTGTTAGTGATTCCTTGAAAATCAGCCATATCTGTCCATCAGGATATAGGACAGAAATGTCGTGAGATGTATATTTTCCATTCAAATTTCGTATCTTGGCCCAAACAAACTTGCAGTGAAGTCAAACAATCACTCTATGGCAATGATCGCCAAATCTTAATACCTCGAATTATGACAAACAGCAGCTAGCTACAGTTGAAAAAACTTAAATTAATTATACTAAAATGTAGAAACTTTTGGAAGATCATAATTATATTGATACAATAATTTACAGTATATACTATTACAAATCACACAGTCATTGGGTTTCAATCACTATCGTTCAGCTAGGCTTCATTTCTGTCCTAGAATGTCACATCGTTCCGCGCTACAAAATGGTGGTAACCACGAATGATTGCATGTAGTGAATAGCCAATAAACATTTAACAAAAAAATTTTTAAATGGACTATTCAAAATTTGCTGCTTACTTAATTGATTCTTTGTTTCCTATATTCATTATTGTCAATGGAAGAGGGAAAAGGTATGGTATAAGCAAATTTTGAGAGTATAATAAATGGTTGAATAACTTGATTTATAAGGTATTAAAGGATTTTGTGCACTGTTATACTTAAAAATCAATGACATACTAATCAATGTTGCTGGCTTGCCACTAGAATTTAATCTGAGCCTGTATCACGATGATTGCTTCCACTTTCGTCTTCACTCTCTGTGTCATGACTTTTTTGCCATGTTTCTAATTTTTGATAACTGTTTTCTCTGCTCTGTTTACATTACTTTGACTTAAACTTTGCATAACTTTTTTTTAAGAACCAGGTAACAGTCGTGATGGGTGGGTAGCCAGTGAAAACACTAGTAAAGGGTCAAAAATGTAAATAAATACACCAAGTGAGAGTAAAAAAGGTAGGCAATAATCAACTGAATATTACATGGCTTACACAAAGTCTTGTTACGACACCTTCCTCAATATACCATACATTAGAAAGACAGCTAGAATTCCACTATAGACTTAACCTTGGAAAGCTTGTTAGTCTGCTTTTCTCCCAAAATTTCTGTCAAGAGGCAAGAAGCCCCTCCACGAAAGAATGATAAAATCCACATATGGAATATGTTGGTCTTTGAATGAAGTAGTAGAGGCTGATTTGGCCACCCTGTCAGCCAAAGCATTCACCCAAATACCAGCATGATCAATTAACTAGTACTACAGGACAACCAATGATTGTGAGGATAAAAAGGTCATATTTTTGTGAAGTTGTGAAGAAGGATGTGGTCTATAAGTAATCAATTTTAAGGCCAGCAAGAAACTAAACCAGACAGTATTAATGGTAGACTGATTTTTACTAGCTCTGAAATGAAACTACAGACTCACTGCAAACGAAGTAACTGAGTTAACTGATTTAGTGTCTTCAGTAAAAATAATAATGAGGGAAGAATATCACAAACAGTTCTCATGAAAACGAAGTCCTCCAGTCAAAGATATCTTGACTTTTTACAGCAACTATTAAGATAAATCATTGGAAGTAATAATAACCAATGATAGTAGAATAGGTTGACCATCAAAGATAGCAACTATCTTAAAGGACAGACCTACTTAATCAACTACTTTCAAAAGCCAAATGAAACATGTAAACACAAGGCAAACTGGTAGGTTGGGGAAGTAATAGTAACTCTGCAGTGTACTACAAGAATAATTGTTTACAAAGAATATGGAGTGGATGTACAAAAGACTCATTGCAGCTCTGGATTTTAGAAGTGAAAGGTTCCTTGTGCATGGTCTTAGACCCTGATGATGTACAGAAACAAGCTTTTTAAACCACTATCCTTGGCCGAACTATAGCACACCAGAGAGCCATAGTCCAAATTGAAATGTTTGAGGGTTCAACAAATCAATTGCAAAGAACATCGTTTGCTTCTCAGGATATTGATAAGAGGATTCAAAAAATGTTTAATGCACTTATAAAACCTTTAGCTTCTTGATGTGAGGAATAAAAGCTAGTTTACTTTCGAAATAAAGGTTAAAGAACAACGTTTCTGACACCAAAGATATCAGAGTATCTCTAAGTTGAAGCTCTTAGATGAGATAAAACCCAGTTAGTGACAGAAATGCATGAAAATGATTTTATGTGTGAAAAATTTAAACTTGTTTGCAGTAGTACTCTCACATATTCAATTAGAAGTACTTTGAAATTTCTCTAAGCAAACCTCATATTTGATGACACAAACACTGAAATTTCTCAACATAAAGCCAGTTTGCAACTGATGGAGAAAGTTGTTCCATAATAGTGTTAATTTTTAGGGCAAACAAAGTGTGGAACTCAAAATTCAGCCTTGAGAAAAACCCATATCTTGTGTGAAACCTAAAAGAATTGAAAAAATATTTTATGAGTATAAATGGTCACATAACCTATAGAGTTGAATGTCTGCTAAGATACCATAGATGTACATGCTATCATATGCCCTTTCTGTGTATGAAATATAATACCAGATACTCCCTTTTAAGCTTTCTTCATATATGTTTTAAAGCTTATCAGATGATCCTTAGTAGTTCATTGTCTAAAAACATACATTGACTGTTGGAAAGGGAGTGATTTGATTCAATGAATAAA